CTGGCTTGTTGATTGGGCCACAAATGGAGTAGGAAGGAACCATATTTTCATTTAAGAATTTTTGTTGGCAAAAGAAATTGATATGCTATTAATGCTTATTATGACTCGGATTTCATAATGACTCGGATTGAAAAAAGACAACACTAAAAACTAATCTCAGTGTCGAGAAAACTGGTCGGAATTTCGTCTCAAGCATTTTGGCCTACTGGAGAGGTAAAGGAAGAGTCATTCTATTTATGGCCTTGGACCTCTGCACTTCTTTGTTAGTAAGACCCCTTCAACAAATCCACTTTCCGTACACCAGACTACACGTCTCTGAAAATCGGTCCTCAACATTTTGGAGGGTATGCAGGAACCATAAAATTATGACATTAAATTTATACCAAAGAACTATGTCGTTCTTAGGTATTCCAAATTAAAAGATGTTGACTTGGTTTTATTTGGAATTTTTAGACAATCAGATACAGTTAATGCATATGCAGCGCTAAATAATTGATTTCGATCTAATTAGTAAGGGCGGAGAATATTAACTTAGACTGTTTTTCAACCATTCGCTGGCTATGTTTAACAGTGGGGATGAGCCTGATTTTAAAATATGGCTTTAATTGTAGTTTCAAAAAAGAATTTTAGTTTAAGATTTCCAGTGAAATTGAAAATTATGTTTTGATTCATTTTTCACAAACAAGGCTAGTTTCATCAAACACATAGTCAATCCTAGATTTTTCTATACACTATAAAATCTTCACTGTAATGCAGTTTGCTGCATAAAACTTGGAAGTTGAAAAAAAGTTGTTTCGAAAAATGTAAGTGGACTTGAGGCTGTTATAATCTTTCTAGCCCAACTCGCAATAAGTGAGTGCTGACTTTTGGTGGATTTTTTGTTGCATTGGGATATCAATTTAGTGTTTTTCCCATTTTAATTCGGACCAGTGTTTGAAGATATCAAGAGCCGATAGCTCAGTTGTCTTGTCATTTGACTCGATATCTAGAGGATTTATGTATCTTTCAAGACTTATTTATTGTTCCGACCACTGAAAGTCGGGAGGAACTTTGTCTTCATGTTTGTCTTAATGTTATTGTTTTTTCCATGCCAAAATAATTACCACTAATAATTACACAAAGCTTGTGTTAAAGTATGAACTCTTTTTCTTCAAACCTAAGTCGCGAATATTTGTGTAGATAATTGGTGTAGATTAAATCCTGAAGCTTTTTTTGATAATGAATGATTTCACGTCTCAATTTGAAAACTCCCGGGTCAGATACAAAATATAACCGATGGAAAAACTATTTACACTTGCGAAGCGAGTGTATTAGTGTGAACCTTCTTTTTTTCCAACCTAAATAGCAAATATTTACAGCTTTTTCATAGCATGTGCTTAGATATTCGAATAATGATAAGTTAACACAGTTGATGCATTTTTAAATAATCAAATGAACCGAATAAAGTGTTTGTTTCAAACAAGATAACAATAATTGAAACTTGATTTCAGAAATTTTCTAAGTCAGTACATCTCGCAATCTTTTACAATTCGTAATTTATCCATAATGTGGCTTTATGCTTTCAAATTTGTTACATGCAGACTCAGTGTGGATGCCTTCAGTTTGTTATAATCCAAATTATTTCTTGCAAAATTGTGTCGTTTTGTATTTGGTTCCACTTTTGCTGAATCGCATTGGCTATTTGTTAGCATGTGTAGCTGCTTTATTCGTGACTAGTGTTTGTTGTTTGTTAAGCTTTGGTGGCTTAGTAGATATTCGTGGCTTTTTTGCGGTAGGTTGTAGATTCGAATCGAGTTTTTGCTAATTCGAGGCTTATTTTTACTTTTTCTTAATTCACTTGATAGAGCTGCTTTTTATCTTGTTCTCGCAATTGTACCCAAAATTCCGAAAGTGGAAATACTCTTCCAGAATGTTAAGAGTCTTGCCAAAAAATTTCACCTTGCTTCTCGTCAATCCTTTGTCAAGACATCTGAAATTTTGTTTGTGAAACATGGCCAATTCCAATTGACGATAACAACAATTTTGAAATTCCAGGTTTGCATAGATTTGATAATGCATCTATTACTGACTCTAGACTACATGCTGGGTTTATTGTGTACGATACCCAAGATATCAGAAACTATTGTTCAGAAGTTAAAATAACGTTAGTTTCGTTGTATTACACCACACAGTGCGGGATTGTTATTTGATTTCCCTACATCGAAGTCCTTCAGTTACATATTTGAGTGCTTTTAAAGCTGATTTGACTGAAATAATGATTAAGTACAGAGAAAACAAATTGTGCTTTTTTTTTGAAGGTTTCAGTGTTGTTATTCTCTCAAACATTTCTTTTGTGACTTTCATGTTGTCCTTTGATAATCATCATTTTAGGACGCCCATAACTACAACAGGCAATACTAAAATAGATCTTATAATTTGTTCACCCAAGAGAATATTGTCAGTCGTTTTAAGTGAAACTGTGGATAGTTACCACTAACCTTTGATTAGCAATTTCAATTTTTTTGTTTGCGTAATCAAACTCATATCTAACGCTCCTTTTTACACAAGTTCAGGAAATAAGTAAATGATTAGTTCAGCCTAAAAAGTTTTTTTCCAAATTTTCATCAATTATTTTTCTTGCGTTACAACTAAGCATCATTGATTTAACTTGAACAAACGTGACAGCTTTCAGCAATTTGTAAATTATAATTTGTAGTGTGAAATTTATTTACACCCGCGAGCATGCGAGCGTTAGTATTAAGAGTTCCAACCTCCTTTTTTGCTAACCTACCTAGCAAATGAAAGTGTTCATTATTTGGTCGCACAGTGTTGGTTAATTTGTGGTACTTGTTCTATAATCACGATCTATATCATTTTTCTAACGCATTGGAAATCCTATAGCATGTGTTCTCTGCTTTGTTTGGCTAGTATTTTTCATTAATTAAGCATCCGTGGTTAGTGTGTGAGACTCTTAATATGCGGGTTGCAGATCCAATCCAATACGTAGCCAAATTTTTACCGATTCGAGGCTTATTTCGACTTTTTCTTGTTTTAATTTTTAAAGTAGTTTTTTGTCGTTTTCTGGCTAGTGTTTGCGAAGCGCAGCTTTGCCTCTGTGGTCATGAAAGCACTCGATAACTGGGTTCCTATTAGCTTTTTATTTTTTTTGTCTTTTTTCGTACAAGCAGGTTAGCTCAAAATTTTTTAAATTTAAGTTGCGATAAACTTAATTTATCTCCAAATAAAATAGTTTTTGAAGATTTACATGGCGCTTCTCTGGCAAAAAAAAGTTCAAGTAACAATTTTGAAACAAGCTTTTTGTCTGTTATGTCTTGTTCATCTTTCTGAAACAGCTAGTCGATAATGTTTAATTTTGTGAGCTTCCGTATTTTTTCTTTCATGACACCACGCAAAAAGTGACATAAATATGAAAAAAAAAATTTTAACGTGGTTGAAACTTTTTTGTTACATGCACAGCAACTACTCTCGTTTTTTTGGTGTTTTTCTTAAATTTTGAAGCTTTCGTTTGCCAATTTTTCAGCTGGAGCTTGCAAAATGCAGCTTCGTCTCTGTCTTGTTCTTGCATTGCATTTAGACTCTTTTTTGGACATTTGAGTGTTTTTGGGGAGCGAATTCGGAATCGTCAGGGGGTCCCTCAACTTCCTGATTAGTATCTCGTCAAAATACGGGTATAAAACTGTCTTGAACAGTTAAGTTTTTAATTTATAGCTCAATCTAGTTTTTAGCTTGTGTTAATGTTTTTAGATCTGCTGCGCTCATGAGGCAGATAAATAAGCCTATCAATCGCTTAGCATACTGATTTTTTCCTATCAAAAATGTGTCGCTTAATATGCTGTTATTTAATTCAAAAGCGGCAGCTATCATATTTTTTGCATGTTAAATAATTAGATATATATTCACCCAGCTGCATTTTGACTACATTTTGTATTGTATTTTAATATAAAATTTGTCGGATATATTACTTTTTCGGGTAATAAAATTAAATTAAGTATGCTTATGTGATACGTTTGTGACTCGAGGGGGGATTTTCAAAATTTTTTTTCAAATTTAATCGAACGTTTTTTTAGGTCGACCAAATTGAATTTCTGAGCTCTCCCAAACCACTCTAGAGACTATAATTTGACCAAATTTTCTGCGCTGCAGGCAAACTTTTGAAAAAAGGCCGAAAAGGCGTTTTTAGGTTTTTTTTTTGGAAAATGTCGACCAAAAAAATCGTGTTTTTCGGCGCGCGCTCCCCCCATCAAAATTAGTATAGATTCGCGCCTTTACGAAAATATTAAGGTCAGTCAGCCAAAAATGGATATCTCAAAATAGTACAAAAGGAGGATCCTTTATGTCGTCAGAAGGTCGAATCCCTGAAGAGGGGGGAGGGGGTCCGCCTTGCCCCCCAAATCCGCTACTGATTTTGTGTATGCTATGTGACTGGAATGCTAAGTGACGACAAATCCCAAACTCAAATAGTTGCTAATTTAAGGGAATTGAAGGGCAAAGTTCTTCCAGCATAAACAGATAAAATTGTTGTGGTTTTACTTCGTCTGGGTTTTGGTTGGGTGACTGGCCGCCTAGTGCGACTAAATTGTTTACGCAGCTGCAGGTTATTGCTAATGATCTGCTGAAGCTGAAGAATTCGACCGAGGAAAGTGCGCACTAGATTAGATCAGCTGCCATTCATTTCCCGTGCCTTGATTTTCTCATTCTTTCGTTTCTTGCCTTATAATCTCCCAAAGTAACTGGCTGTGATCTGATATGTCCGTTAAAGGGCTTGAGAAGATAATATATCCCAATTTTATTTGAAAGTCATAACTGACACGAAACTATTTGTGTGAGCATTGATAGAAACTTTTGTTGAAAACTAAGTTGTTTGCCGTTAAATACCTTTTCTGCTCATAATCAAACTTATAGGGCAAATAGGGTGGTCACAAATAAAGGAGGTACCGTTTTATATAGGAGGGCTGTTCTCTCATTCGAATTGTAATGGATATGTACATTATTGTTTGCAGCAGAATGGAGGCATGCCTGGTTTGGACTTGCCGACATTCGTGTCTGGTTCAGCAAGTGGAGGTCGGGCCAACTCTTCAAACAACAATAGCAATGCCTCTTTCGCCCCCCTCCTGGCTCAGACAGCGAGTGGGTCTGGAGGGGTGGGGCAGCAGGGAGTGGGTATGGGTGGGGGCATTGGTGTGAATAATGTGAGTGTGACTGTTGGCAGTGCAGAGTCGAACAAACAGCCGGACGCGGAGATCAGGAAGTTCCGCAAGAAGTACAGACAGGAAATACTCACAGCAGCTATGTGGGGTTAGTAGAAACAGGATATACTTAAAATATGGTTTCTATTTTTTTTTCAACGGATGTGATTGGGCATAGGGGTCAAAGTTATAAGTGTTCACTACTAGCCGAAAAGTTGTTTTTATCTCAGTATATGAACTCTATTTCATATTAAACGCAATTCCTCGAATCTCGAAGTTATTTTTTTTGTAGCGTCTAGAGCGGTTTTGGATACAATTTAGAAAGCTCGGTTGAATATCGAGCTTATTAAAATTTGTCGAAGGGGGTCAATAACGAACGGTAGGGGGGTTGGAGGGGTTGACTTCCATGCAAGAGAAGGACAACCGGCAGTCATGAATTGGGTGCTGTTTTATCTGCTCTAGTTCAGAAGCACAGAAATAAGTGAGCGTCTTTTTCACTAATGGTTGTAAAACGTCTCTAGAACATCAGTATTGTTTAGGTGTGAATCTGCTGATTGGAACTGAGACTGGTCTCTTCTTTCTCGACAGGAGCGGCGAAGGCAAAGGTAATACACGAATAATTATTACATAGAATAATTATCGCTTAATAGAGTATCTAAATAAAAGCATTAGCAATTGAAATTGCTTGGATTGTTTTTTTTTCGGGTCCGTTGCAATTGATTAGTCTTCATTAGCTTCATTTCTAGTTTTCATTACAAAATGATTTTAGGTGCATTTAATTGAAATCTTAATAAAAATGGACTTTGAGTTCAGAAAAGCTCATAACAAGCATATTAATCTGGTCGTTACAGTGTCGCAGCTGATCAAGCGGAGGAAGTTCCAGTTGATAGACACTCTGCCTAATCTGAATCTCATGATCAGCATCTCTGGAGCCAAGTGCAAAATCAGAGCATACTATTTGAACCTGTTCAACTACAAGATACTCGGCCAGGATGTAAGATACAGCAATTTTTTCTTGAGCGGATTTCGAGATCGATCAAATTCTTTTTCCGAGGTTGCCTAAAACACTGTATAAACCTTTTTTTGTGAAATGGTTCTGGGCCACAGGCATTTTCGGTTTTTGGACCATTTTTGCATAATTTTGATCCAAAAGCTGCTTTTTTCGGCGTGCGCTCCCTCCTTAAGTTTAACATTTATTGGCGACAAAATTAGATTTCACCAAATGGTATTAAAGGAAATGAAACCGCCCCCCTAAATGCGCTTCTGACCCTGATTACACTTGCGAAGCTAGTGTATTATTACGAACCTTATTTTTTTCAACCTAAGTCGCAAATATTGGTGCGGACTCCAATAATGGTTGGGCACCTTTACAGCTTTTTGATTGCATGTGCTTGGACAATAAATTAACATAGTTGATGCATTTTTAATTCATCAAATGAACCGAAAAAAGGTATTTGTTTCAAACAACATCGCAATAATAAAAACTCGATTTTAGAAATTTTCTATTTTTTGAAATGCATAATATGGCTTTATGCTTTGCGATTTGTTGCATGCAAAGTTAGGGTGGACGCCTTTAGTTTGTTATATTCCAAATTATTAATTGCCAATTGGAGTCTATTTGTATTTGGTGCTGAATCGCATTGGCAATTTGTTAGCATATGTAGATGCTTATTCGTGACTAGTATTTGTCGGCTGTTAAGCTCGAGCAGTTGCAGGGATAGTGCGTGAGACTCGAAACCTCTTGATTGCAGTAGGTCGCAGATTCGAATCTTACACTTAGCCGAGTTTTTTGATAATTCGAGGCTTATTTCTACTTTTTCTTATTTAACTTGATAGGGCTGCTTTTTGCTCGTGTTGTCGCTGTTTGCGAAGCGCAGCTTCGCCTCTGTGGCCATGAAAGCACTCGAAAACTGGGTTCCGAGTAACGTTATTGCTTGTGTATGCGAAGTGCAACTTCGCATCTGTGTTAACAGATTGGGTTGAGTGATAAATCATGTTCAAGCACACTCAGTAGTGATTTGAACGACACTAAAAATTTGAGAAAAATTGGTTAACTTTTTGGGTTTTAGTATTATATATACTCGAAATTAATAAATATTTAATGAACAAGTACCAATTCACAAGAACATTGGGCGTTTTAAATCATATATGTATATATAATTGTCACATTTACTTTATAGTTGAGGATTATAATATTGTGTAGAAGCCAGCCTCGATTGAATAAATCTTGTTTGTTGATTTGTAAATATCATACAGCATGTATGCTTTAACCTCCGGGTTATATCCGCAAGCTTACATATTTGTCGAAAAAAATTTAAATGCTTGGGCCGAAAGTCAGAAGCCGAAAATTGGCAAGTTGTGAACGACAAGTTGTTGTTAGGCTCGAAACGTATATTGCTCATGATTTTATCAATAGTCCGGGTGGTTATGTACAGAAAAGTAACGAAGAAATTTAGGCTACTTTACCTTTCTGCAACTTGGAAGTTTTTTGACACCAACAATCGCTTGTATTATTACGTTTGCGAGAGCTAGTGTCTTGTAATGTCTGGTATCATTATGCATTTAGATGATGTCAGTTGTAATGGCTGGTATCATTATCATAAGTTAGATCATGATGTCAGTTGTACCATGGAAATTGTTTCAGCCTCGCAACAGTGAAGAAAAACATAAGCCGGCTTATGTACAAATCGGAGATTTCGAGGGCTGTACACACTTCAAAATAGGTATGAGTATATCGAGGGGTCTTTGTATTTTTTCGTTGCCTTCAGTCATTTAAGCTTTGCCCCTTACGATCACGTCTCAACTCAATACTTTGAAGTGTTAAGTAGAGCCATTGGACTCTTTCTTTCAGTCAGAAACAGTAGAATTGCAATCAGATTTTTTTTGGCGCGCTTTTTCTCGCGGTAGCCACTTGAGGCTAAGCAAAAAAAGTAGCTCAAGAAGGGCTATCTGGGTAGTGACGTAGCCGATTTAAAGACAGAATGTGATCCTATTTCGAACTAAAACATGTTGTAGCGCGTCTTTTGTGTTGTATTGCAGTGAAGTATGAGCGGATCAAGTTCCTGGTGATTGGTCTGAAAAACAGTGTCGAGGTGTATGCTTGGGCACCCAGACCATACAACAAGTTCATGCAGTTCAAGGTAACAATCCTCCAACAACGTATAGCTGTTTTTATTTTGAATGACAGATCCTTCACCGAGGTCTATTGAGGTATGCGTTTTGTGCACATAACATGATTGTAAGTAAAATAAAGATACGTTACTTTTGATAGTAGTTCGACAATTGATATCAGCAAGTGATAACCGCATCTGGATATCCTGGTCGTGTGTTATAGTCGTTCCCGAATCTGACGTACACGCCTCGGCTGGTGGACTTGAAAATAGAAGACGGCAATAGACTCAAGGTCATCTATGGGTCCGACAGGGGTTTCCACGCTGTAGATCTAGACTCGTCCCGGTGCTTTGACCTCTACCTGCCACAACACGTAAACATGCATAAAGTTCCTATATTTTTTTTCAATTAGGACGAAAATGCTTAATCGTTTGCAAAATAACCGTTTTTGATCGATTGAAGAAAATTCACATCCCTTAATTGGCTTGGGGTATGTTTACACGGCATATTTCCCATTTCTCAACATCACCTTTTTACACTTGCGATTAGCAAGCCTTATCAAATCTTTTCCAGGTAAGTAACTTGTCTTACAGAATGACTGAAATATCTGATAATTTGGCTCATAAAAATTTTATTTTCTGGGTCTGATGCTGCATGTGTAGTCTGGGAGTTAACTTCCATGCCTTACACTCCAAAGGTAGGGCTTGAATCCGGTCAGGACCTGTTGTTTGATAACTGAAAATTGTTCCGCTTGAAAAAATAATGGTCCGACTTAGGTTGGCCACTTTGTCCATTTTAATGAACCGGTCCCTGGAAGTCACTTTTTGGTCCTTCTTTTGCGTGGGTTCCTTTTTTACACTTGCTAGTGTTAGTGTATTAGAACGAACTTTGTTTTTTTCTAACCTAATTCGCAAAAAAAAGTTCATTATTTGGTGGCAGTGTTGATTTTTTTGTGGCACTTTTTCTATAATCACGATCTAAAGCATTGGAAATTTTATAGCATCTGTTCTCTGCTTTATTTTTGGCTAGTGTTTGGGATCCATTAAGCGTCAGTGGCTGAGTGGTTAATGTGTGAGACTCAAAATCTTCAGGCCGGAGTAGGTCGCCAAGCGAATCCGAGACGTAGTCGATTTTTTTTTCACTCATTCGAGGCTTATTTATACTTTTTGGGCTCTTTTTCCCCCACCTTACAGAAACATCAATTTCATGGTGTAACGAGTGGTCTTACAAGGTTGAGTATGAAGGCCAAATATGATTGCCATGGCCTAAACAGTCCGTATGCCAAATTTTATAACAATCCGAAATTGTGAACAAAAACTCTTTTCGTACTGCACTTTATAGAGCTGATTTTTGACGTGTTCTCGCTAGTGTTTGCGAAGCGCAGCTTTGCCTATGTATAAGAATTTGATTTGAAATCTGTTTTGACTTTCGTATGAAATTGTCTGACAAAAAGTGTTCAAAATTCAATTTCCTCCAAAAAATGGCTGGAACGAAAAAGGCCTACAAATACCCAATCTCCTTGAAAATGCTTTTTGTTTTTGTACTTTTGATGAAAATTGTCTTCTGTTCAATTTTTACCAATTCAACTGAGGTCATAGTTTCTTCAAAAAGTGTGGTCACCGTAGACGGACTATCGTTTGTTTGCTTATATTTGTTGGCTTAGTTGCCACAACATGGAATTTGCTTATGATTTTTCGTAATTTTTGAAATAGAAAATCTTTTTGATGTGTGCCTATAATCGTGCAGGTGATTGAGTTCAAAGTTTTAGATTTTTTTTTCAATTTTTTTGAATTACTTTTTTCTTTTACGGAATTACGGTCAATTTATTAGCTGTTCTTAATTTTATGTTAATTTTTTAAATCTGTTATACTCTTTTTTTCCGCCCTAATTCGCAGATGTAAATGTTCATTTTTAAAGTGTTCTTTTATTGCAGTTTGTGTATAAGATCAATAACCAGCTATTAAGTACAGCCAATGCTAAGGATATTAACGCAGACTATTATATTACAATTAGCACTTAAATATCAAGGTATCATGGATCAGTAGCGTAGAGGTACGAAAGGAGACCCGCAACAAAATAAGAGGGTTTGAACCTGGGCAGGGTCAGATGTTTCTAATGAACTTTTTTCGTAGACTAGTTAAAATGAGTCCGCTCTATAAATTAAAATGAGGCATGTTAGTTGGTAAATTTCGTTTTTTCTCCAATTTGGCTGGTTCTGCTAATGCGTCTTAATTGGTTTTTGTAACTTCGCAATTATGTAGACTCATAATTAGCGTGCATCACTTAAGAATTTTAGTAGATTCAAAGTTTTACTCATTCAATTTCTCCCAGTAGCGATATCGGTCATATTTTTGCTTGTGAATGCGAAGTGCAGCTTTGTCTTGTCTCTGTGTCAAATATTGGGAATATCTATATTAAAGAATCTAATTTCGTATGAGCCGCTGTAAAGCATAGAGGGGACTGTTATGAGGAGTTGTTTCTACATAACTGAAGGTTCGTAGCTTTTTTTGGTTCAAAGAGTTTGGCTTGGTGTTTATTTTTCTCGGATTTCATTTGCGTTCTTTCATTGAAGCCACATGCGCTCGTTGAGATCAGTCATTATCACTTGCTGAAAGATTTATAAAAAATTTAATTATCACTATTTAAAATATATTTCGCCTGTTTTTTGTTGTTACGTGACACTGAACAAAGTGAAGATACTTTAGGGTGTGTGGTTTTTTTTTCGTGTTTTTTTAACGAATAGGCGTAACACATGCGAGATTTCAAGCGTAGTGTTGACAGCCAGGTACTCTTGTTCCAACCTAACTCGGAATTGATGTTCAGATAAAAATACCTCAACACAATTTGAGTGTCTGTGTAATGCTTATTTGTTTTTCTACTTTGGTTTGGTGGCTCGTGGTTGCAAGGGCATATGGCGGAATGGTCAAAATATGAGACTCTAAATCTGTAGGTCGTAGTTGATGATGGAGGCTACTTTTTTAAATTATTTTTCAAAGGTTTTGCCATTTCAAAGCTCCCTTTGTCGTTTGTTTGCGAAGTGCAGGTTCGCTTCTGGGTAGAAATTGTTCTCGCTCAAAATTTTTTTTTTTTCGCAATGCTAAATGAAAGGCAAGCTACGCTCTCCGAAAACACAAGGGATGTCTTATACTTTCGATGACTTATAATTTCATCTTACTGGTTTGAATGTTTTCAAGAGTCGATGAGCGTAGTTGAGATTCTTATATCCGGCGTGATGATTTTTTTTCGGAAGAGTCTTAAAATTTGATCAGGCTCAATTTTTTTGCGGATTTCTTATAAATTCAGTTCCCTTCCTTTGTTAAAAGGCATTCAAACTCTACTATCGAGCAGCAATAGAGTAATGGTCTCGAAAAACGTGATCGTCTTCTATTTTTGAAAAGGGATTCTAAGTTTCAGATATCACAGCGAAATAAAACGTTTATCTATTGGTCCATTTTCTCAAATTGGGTTAGTTTTACCGAAAAGTGCGATTTTGAGAAAATAAATCAGTGTGTTTTTTGTTAAATTGCGTTCACTGGCTCTTTTCCATGTATATGTTGGCTCTGTTTGTTTTTGCTTCCGATATTTCCTTTTCATGCTGTTGAAAAGAAAAATCTGATTTCCTTGTAGGCATTATTTTTTTAGGACTTCAAAATCTCTTACGATTTTCAGCAATTGCCGTTTACTTTTGGCTTTCAGGAATTGTAGCTTTTATTTTCTCTTGTGTCTCACTTGTGATGCGAAGCTCAGCTTCCCCTTTGTATGTAAATGACACTGCGGTTGGAAATTGCTATCAATGTGTTTCATTGACACTAAGGCTACTTCTATTTCAGACGGGTACGGGGTCAGTTGTGCCGCATTGCATGGTGACATTTCCAGGCAGTAATGGAACCAAACTACTCTTGTGCTACAACAGTAAGTCCAAACATTTTGCCTAGCTGCATTCAGTTCCAAATTCTAATTCTGTTCAATAGGATACTTAACCTAATCTTTTTAAATTACCTTCAGTTCATCATTAGCTCAGCTCGAAAAATATGTTGTCAAAGAATCTGTGTGCGCTGAATCATTCGATGTTTAATCATTTGATTTTCAGGCGAAGGTGTGTACGTTGATACAAATGGAAGGACGTTTAGAGACGCCGCATTTCTCTGGGGAGAACCACCGACATCCGTTGGTAAGGATATAGTACACGTTCTAGGAAGCAAAAAATCATAATAGTTGACAGTTAATTGGAAATGAAAGCTTCATTATCTGCTGTTGCTTACACAGCGGTGACATCATAAAATGTAAACTTTTTAAAAATTAGATTTACCCAAAAAGCTTCTGACATGTTGGCAATCAGTTTCTTTTTCAATTCTGTAGCATCTGTTTTAGCGGCGGTCGGTCCGAATCATGTGTTAGGATACTGCACGACTTCCATCGAGATCAGAGCAATAGATACTGGAAACCTGGACGGAGTATTCTGCCACTACCAGATACAAAAACTGCGTTTCCTCTGCGAGTCCAACGGAAAGGTATTATTCAATGTTTTTCATCAAAAATGTTGAGGAGCTTGTTGAACGCTGTCCTTACTAAAAATGAGGAGCTTGTTGAACGTTATCAGTTGAGCAACCTATTTACGTTGCTTTATCTGGTGGAAAATTATAAATTATTTAGCTTTAAATAAAGAAATTATCATATAATGCAGCTCAGTTTGTAGGTCAAAGTGGTCCCAATTGTAATGTTTGTTATTTTCAGGTATTTTTTGCTGCTTCCAAAGGCGGTTTCTACCAAGTGTACATACTCATGTTCAAGGAACTCACAGCTCTTCATCAGCACAATCAACATAACTCTCTTCCTGCTCCACATCAGTCGAGTTCTACTCTAAACAGCAACCATACAAATCAACAGGCACCAACGGGAAACAGTAGCAGCAATGCATCGCCTGCTCAACTCCCGCTGCAGTCCATCACAAACACACCTCAGCATCTTACGACGCCGCCTTCTCTGTCAATTCATCACCAGTCCACTTCCGGACAAAGCGTAGGTGCTGCAGGAGACGCCCAGGGATACCACACGTCGGATAGTAACCAGCCTCAGACATCTGGACACCCGCCATCGCTACTACACTACGCGGCATCTCCAGTCACGCAGTCGAATCAGACTCAGTTCACGAGTGGCGCGACTAGTGGAAATAACAATGGCGTCGGAGGCACTGACAACTTGGAAGGAGGCCGCAGTTTGCGGGAACTGAACAGTCTAGAAGATCCGTCGAGACAGGAACAGTTCCTCATGAGTTCAGTCGGAAACTACCTGACTCATTCGACCACTGGTGCTATATGAGACTCATCCTTGATGCATGAAATGAAATAAAAAAATTTCCCCGAACTTGGTAGATGTTATGAAATAGTTGATCCGTTATGCTCGTGACATAGTTTCATATAAAAAAACGATCTCTGGTCTTCTGTATAGAGGGTGTTCAACAAGCAGCTGTCTTATCTTATCTACTTCTCTCTTTTAGCTGTAGCTGTTATGAATTGAATGCTTAGATAGTTGCCATTGCCTTGCGCTTCTCAGAAAAATTCGATTGCTCAAAATCATGACTCAACTTTTCCATTAGAAATCTCTGCACTGTGCTCTCTTGTGCTGTTTTATTCATCTCGACATTGTTGGATTATATTCTGTCATTCTAAATGGTCCCAAAGTGGCTCTTTCAGCCACTGCGAGTAATATTTGAACTGCAGTAAAGTAGTTTAGTATAATTTGTTTCTGCAGTATGTCACATCGTCTAAATGTACAGATGCTGCGATATAAATTATTTCGAATGGGGGATCTTTATATATCCAATTATGCATTTTAAAGAAATTAATTTAATTTCGCAGGGAATATTTTGTTAATCTTGTTAAACAATAAAACTGATTCGAAAGTTTGTCATCAGGTGAACTGAACTGAGTATCGTTAAAAATCTCGCTTGGCTTCAAGTCAAAAATGCTTTTAATAAGTCTTGAGATGGTACAGTTCAACTATGCCGACTGACAGTTTTCATTTTGCCTTTAATTATAAAAAATTAAACCAAATTTTTATTTTAGAAATTGAAAGCCATGTCTCAATTTTTAGTCAATATAAAAGCATGTTTTTTCAACGCAAATTACATAATTTAGGATTTCTTTGAAGTGAGTTTTTGATTGAGTGGCCACTAGCGAGACTAGGTGAAAGATGCTTTGTTTAATGTTTGAATTTTCGCTCCAGCTGGTTGCTTGTCTGTCATTAAACTCCAAACACCAAGGTACTCAAAAGGTATTGGGTCAAAAAGTTTATATTGATAGCCTAGAGCTTCTACATTTTTCTCCTTGTTATTTGCCTTCTGTTTGTGTACTTTTTCCAAGGATATGCTCAATTTCGAGGCTCTGACCCAAAATTTACAAAGGCATTATGATCAAAGCTTCAGGGAGATACCTGAAGCGGCATTTTGGCTCCATATTGCAAACCTTTGCCTGCGGCGGAAATAGAAGCATTCTGTTTCGGATGGGCTGGGAAAATCAATTTGGTCGTGAGACTCCTAATATCGAGGTAGCAGGTGTGGATCCGACATCTTAAAACATTTCCAGTTTGTTGAGATGCTTCTACTTCTTCGCTAACGTTTGCGAAGCACAGCTTCGTCTCTGTCAATCTTTGTGCTGTTGTTTCATGGTTTTTTTCGCCTTGAATAAAATCAAAAAGTATTTTAATATTAGCAACTGATAAATAATCGAATCTTTATATCGCAGAACCTTTACACTCCCATTTAAACTATCATTTTGAAGAGACAGTGACCGAAGTGAAGAGTCTTTATAGTTCTTGGAGAGTTTTGGTTAGTTTTTTTGGCCACAAGTTGAAAAATTTTCTATTAATTACAGATCTGCAATCATACATGTTAGTATTTATGAATGTATTTACGTATATATGTACCTTTATTCAACATATATTCAACTTCCGCCGAATCAAAACTTTACCTATTGATCCAGCTTTCTCCAATTGAAATAGTTTTATTACGACTGCGATTAGAAAGCGTTATCAAAGCGAATATAGACTTTGCCGCATCACAAAACTTTCTTGTTTTACAAATAATTGAAATCATACAAAAGCTTAGCTTAAATCAAATTCAATTTTTTTGGAGCTTTTCCGGCACGCGTTTTTTGAAAAATACACGCCTGAAGTGGTAAAGATCCTGTGTTCCAACCTGGCTAGAACTCAAAAAAAAACGTGTGCCGGAAAAGTTACAACAAATTGAATTTGATTTAAGCTAAACTATTGAATGATTTAATTTATTTGTAAAACAAGAAAGTTCCGTGATGCGGCAAAGTCTATATTCGGATTTGATAACGCTTTCTAATCGCAGTCGTAATAAAACTATTGGAGAAAACTGGATCAATAGGTAAAGTTTTGATTCGGTGGAAGTTAAATATATGTTGAATAAAGGTACTTATATACCTAGATACATTCATAAATACTTTCATGTATGACTGCAGATCTGTAATTAATAGAAAATTTTTAAACTTGTGGCCAAAAAAACTAACCAAAACTCTCCAAGAACTATAAAGACTCTTCACTTCGGTCAATGTTTCTTCAAAATGAAAGTTAAAATTGGAGTGTAAAAATTCTGCGATGTTAAAAGAAAAAGATTCGATTATTTATCAGTTGCTAAAAGTAAAATACATTTATGATTTTATTCACGGCGAAAACAACCATGAAACAACAGCACAAAGGTTGACAGAGATGAAGCTGTGCTTCGCAAATTTTAGCGAAAAAGTAGAAGCATCTCCAAAAACTGGAAATGTTTTAAGATGTCGGATCCACACCTGCTACCTCGATATTAGGAGTCTCACGTCATTTCCTTTGAGCCACGGACGCTTAACGATCGGCAAACACTAGCCACAATCAAAACAAGCTATGATGTTTCCAATGCTACAGATTGTGATCATAGCAAAAGTGCCACCAAAAGGGCATTTTTATTTGCGAGTTAGGTTGGATTAGAAGGATTCAAACTAATACTATACGCTGAAAAGCGTAAAAAACAATCAATAAATCTTCAAAAAACTTCCAGCCTATATTATAGTCACCGCCAGGTTCGATTTTTGGAATGTCTCGTGCTTCAAAATCTTGTCTTTCTGCTTATAATTAATTAGCTTGGTTGTCTTGCTAGGGATTTTGCTGTGCTGTGATTAATTTTCATTGTAATTGAAAGAGTTTTGATTTAATTTCGTGATTTGTTTTTTTTTTCGTTTTGAAGCTCTATTGGCCTCAAATGTTTCGGCGTATATTTTATCTCATAGTTGACCTAATTAAGAGTTGTTTCAAAGGAAATTTTATTTTAATGCTTTGTTTTTCCGGAGAGGGGAGCGTAAGTTTTTATATTTGCAGGACTTTCAAAATTTTTTCAATCGAACACAATTTTTCTCGTCGGGAGTCTAAGCATATTTTGCCGGCTTAGTTGCCGCTCATTTAATGTGTCGGAATACTTTTTAAACGCTAGTTATTGTTTTTCTGGACACGTGTTCGTCAAGGTGAACACCATTCTAGACAAATTTCTGTGAAACTTTTGTATTGTGGTTTTTTGGAAATGTTTAAATTATGTTTCGACTTTTTGTTTGTTTACCCTTGCAAAAAGCAAAAGTATTGCAATCGGGTATTAGTCTTTTTCCTCGTAAACAATTTTGTTAATAGAATGGTTAAAACTAGAAATAATAAATTTGGGTTCAGTTCATATATAGTTCAAATTTCTTTGCGCCTGTGACGGCAATGGTCCTGGTTTCAAAACTGACAGGACATGATTTTTTTTCGAACGAGAAGTTTTCCGTTTCAAACACAATTTTCGGCGTATTTTTTGTCGGCTATTGTTTGGTCGGCTTAGTTGCTTTATCGGATAATTTTTTTTTTGCTGTTCGCCTTTCACATTGTAGTTGCTTTCAGTGCTTTGCTTTACTTCTGTCCTTTGTAATATTTTGACTTATTTTTTTCTATTTGTTCTTTCGCTTAAAAACTTTTTTCTGCCCAATCGAATTCGGCTTTGTGACTTTCTTTCGATTCGTTTTAAAGTAAAATTGCTGTAAAATATAATGAATAGCACAAGTTTTTATGACCACATTTTTTTCCGGATTCTTATTTGTTTTTTTCTCGGCTTGATAAGTTTCGGGCGCAAATTTTATCGGCTTAATGGCCGCATATTGCGGTTTTTGACGAGTGAAGAACTTTCGTATGAGCATACGTTTGTTTTGAAGGGGGGACTTGTTATTTTTTATTCGAGGTTTGAAGAAAACGGAATATCTATGATGGGGTTTTTTTTTAATCAGTCGATTTTCGGCTTTTTTTAATCAGTCGATTTTCGGCTATCGAAATAATAGTTTTCACAAAAAATTCTATACCCCAAAGCAGATACTGACTCTCTGAAATCAAATATGAAAAAATAATCACCATTGATCAATTTTTGCAAAGTTCTGGGAAATTGAAATTTACCATTTTGATTTTGTCAAAATTGTGATTTTGTCTAAATTATATTTTTTCCCAAAAACTATTTCGGCTTTGTTATCGCTGGGTAATTTTTTTCGGATTTGATTTTTTTCGTTCAAGTTTTATCGGATTCGTTTTATTAGTTATTATTTTTTCACAGGATGAATATAAATGACGGTTATATCCATCTGTACTTTCGTCAACTGACAGACAAATTTTGATTTCACGAAATCCGTTTTTTATTTCAATTTAGTTTAGCTTTAAAGGTTTTGGCTTAAATTTTTTTTGGCGCAAAATTTATCAATTTTTAGGGGTTTTCATCTGTCGATAAGTTTGTCATGCTAGTTCGTGTTGGCTCGCAAGTGATGTGAAGCTTCACGTTGCCTCTGTGTAAAATTTGAACCCGTCATCATGTTATTTGCAATTAAATCATATATTCGAGATTGATTTTGGAATTGAATGGCCGGCAGGAAGGTTTTCAAATATCTCATCTCTCTGCTCGAATTTTCAGTTGCGAGCACCATTCAAGTTTTAAAAAACCTACTTTTGAAAGAATATTCCTGTAACGTTTTTTCAAAACTTTCTCATTTGAAAAATAATTTTCTTTCAGCTTTGCAATAGCTAGTTTTTTTGTAACCGAGAGTTAGTTTTTTCATCCTAACAAATACAATTTCATACAATGCTGGACAAACTAATTTAATTGCACTCCGGTTACTTTCGACATGTTTTGATCGTGCATAAAGTCTAAATTTTTGTTCCTTCGTTTTTGGCGAAATTTGTGTTTGCTGCTTGTTTTTAACTCAATGTGATGGCGCTATTTTTAATTTATTTCCTAGGAATATTGGACAATGCTTTACTATAAAATTCAATCTTTCGATGGCGAGCTTTTACTTTACTTCGGAGCAGGGCCGACAGTATCTGATCTCACTCTTAGATAGTAAAATTAGTTAGTTATTTTGATACTGAATTTCGTCTTACTGTTCGTCAGGTTTCAATCTCATCGCTCTCAGTGTTATAATTTTCACACTGGTTCTATTCAATAGTTCAAATATAATCATATCTACTTGCGTCGGAACGCGCCAGTTGAAAGACAATAACAAAATTAGCGGCACTTAATAAGGCAATAGTTTACAGTATTTTATACGGCAAGTTATAACCGGAGCAGGATGGAGTAATTATGTTCTCAGATAGGTAAACAGATATATACTTTTTCCGGTTTATGAGTGGTTTTAGCAAAAACAAGAACTGTTTGTGGTGTTTCGTGTTTGAGCAAGTGATTTTACATTCTTATGATAGTATACAAGTTCAAGCTCCATATATAGTAATAAGGAAATATGGATGATTATAGCACTCTTAATATAACGGACTTTTCTAGGACGTTACACAACCGTTCTTTGATAAAATTTATGTATATAAAATTAAATGTGGTTACTAGTTTTATTAAGGTGCCACCCTTAAGTTTTCGATTGTGTTGTCGCGTTGTTCACCGACGATTGTTGTTGCTGGAGGGTCTGAACTGGGAACGTTTGAGG